CCATACCATTGAGGTGATTGGGGGAGCATCGGTCCCCCGGGTGGGAGTGGCTGAGTCCAGGGCTCCGTGTCCCCTCAGCGCCTCAGGCCCCAAAACAGCCCTGGTTGAGCCCCTGCCCCTCCCGAAACAACCCAGGAGGAGCCTTTGCCTCCCCAAAACATTCCAGGATGAACTATCCCCCCTCAGACATCCCAGGATGACCCCTGTACCCTGATAATGCCCCAGTATGAACTCCATACAACCTCCAAGATATCCCGAGATGAGCCACATACCCTGAAGATGTCCTAGGTTTCCCTATACCCCTCAAGACATGCCAGAATGAGCCCTGATGAGCTCCATACCTTCAAGGCATCCCAAGATTAACGCCATACTCCCACAAAACATCCCAGGATGAGCCCCATACTCCCCCCACCAGACATTCCAGGATGAGTCCCATACCCCTCAAGACACCAAGACATCTCAGGATAAGCTCTATACCACCGAAAACATCCCATGATAAGCCCCATACCCTGAAGATGTCCCAGACTGAGCCCTACACCTGCACAAGACATCTCAGGATGAGACCTATATGACCTCCAAGACATTCCAGGATGAGCCCTATAACCCCAAAGCCATCCTAGAATGAGCCTCATACCCCCCTCAGACATCCTATGATGAGAACCATAGCCCCCTCATCCTGGGATGAGCTCCATACCCTCAAGACAACCCAGGATTAACCCCATGCAATCTCTAAGACATCCCAGAATGAGCCACGTACCCTGAAGATGTCCCAGGCTGAGTCCTATATTCCCCAAGACATGCCAGGATGAGCCCTGTATCTCCCAGACATCCCAGGATTAACTCCATAACCCCTCAAAACATCCCAGGATGAGCCATATACCCTGAAGATGTCCCAAGCTAAGTTCTATATTCCCCCAGACACTCTAGGATGAGCCCCATACAACCTCCAAGACATCTCAGGATTAACCCCCTCCTCCCCCAAAACGTCCCAGGATGAGCCACCTGGAAATGCCCCAGGCTAAGTTCTATATTTCCCAAGGCATCCCAGAAGGAACCCCATATACTCACTAAGACATTCCAGCATAAGTCCCAAGATGTCTCAGGATGAATTCCAGACATCCCAGGATGAGCCCCATATCCCTGTGACAGTGACAGCCCTCTCATGGTGCTGGGTCACCACCACTCCCTTGGGCCACAATCCTCTCGGGACAGTGCCAAGAAGAGCCAGGCAGGGCAACAAGTGAGGCAGAGCCAGGTGAGATGCCCTGGACTTCCACCAGCTGTGGGTTAAGGAATGTAGATAAACCATATGGGGGTCCCTAACCTGCTGGACACCCCTCATCTGAATTCCTGAGTGCTGCCCCAGGGAGAGGGTGGGAAGCACTGAGACAGCTGCTGTGTGCTGCGAGCCCCTCAGTTATGGGAGAGTAACAAAAAGAGATGGATTTTCCTTCTTTTCTTTCAGTTGTTTCCTGCAATGAAGCAGCAAAATCCAGCATAGACCTCCATCCCTTCACACTGGAGAACTTGGTCTAGTACGTGGCTGCAGCCATGTCACACTCCCATCCTTCATCCAGGCTGGCTGCCAGGCAAGATGCAAACAGAAAAACATAACATAGCTTATCCTCATCTGAAGGACTCTCTGGTGTCCTCCCCAGTTCCTGCTATCAGGAAACAGCTGCTCATTCCCTCCTGTCTGAAATTCCCTCTGAGATTTGTAACAGCAAGGCCCGTCCTTTGGCTGTCAGGTGGGACCCCACACAGGCATCCCTCCTGGATTGCCTCAGTGGGTTGGGAACAAGGACAACCTGCCAGTGTTACTCTTTTGAAGTGGATGGCTAGGGATGAAACACAACTGTCCCAAAAAACTTCCCAAGGATGAAGTATGAGGAGCATACACATCCTTTATGATGAGCAGGAGAGGCAGCAGGATGACAAACACAGCTGCCCAAACGATCTAGAGATCCTTCCAGCTGGACCTTGCACTCTGAAGCAGAGGAAACAAAGCTACCTTGATAAGCAGTGGAGATAAATCCCACCCAAACCCTCACATTCTTATTTTCTGCAAATTCCCCATTTGATGCCTGAAAGATGCCCATTCAAAGTGATAGTTTTACCTACTTGGTTTGGAGCTTGGGCAGTCTGAGGATGAGACAATTTTCTGCTGCAAATCTCTTCTAAATACACACCAGGCTTGGGGTGTCAGGTGTAGACCTCACAGGGCAGGTGGAGGTGGCCCAGTCTCAGATGTCCCATAGGACTGGGGGAAATCCCAGCACAAAGCCAGGCAGGAGCCACAAAAATTCCTACAGCGGGAGCAGAAATTGAACCTGCTCAGGTCTAGATGCAGGAGTGAAAATCAGGTTGGGGTAGCCAAAATTGCTCAGAAAGATGCTTCAAGGTACTTTACTGTGGCCCTGATTGCAAGACTTAGGACTAAAGAGTCTTTGGGAGCTCACTGGAGACAAGAGGTGCTTTATGACCGACCCATGTATGTTTAAGATCCCCCATATCCTTTCTATGTGTTCCCAGGTACCTGCACGGATCTTTTCTTCCCCTGCTCTGACTCATCTTCCCCACCACACTCCTTCTCTCCCAGCCCATTCCACTCCCTGGGCGCTCAACCCCCCTCTGTCCCCAGCCACATGGGTCCTCTGATCCCCTCTCCAAGCACTCCCTTCTCCTCCATCCCCTTTATCCTCCTCCTGCATACTCTGAGCATCCCCCTCTATGCTTTTCCTTCCCCTTTACCAGATCTCCACCATTCCAGACTGGGGTCTCCATGCCCAGCAATGCCCACAGGATCCAGAGGAGCTGGTTAATCACCTTTTTATTTTATATCAAGTGCTATACACAAATTCCACCCCCCCAGGTGCTCCCAGCGCCCCTGTGCAGACCCCGAACTCGACACCACTGCCAGGTACGAAGCCAAAATAAGTTACACCCTCTCCCTGTGTTCCCAGGCACAGGGGCAGGGTGGGACCAGCCCTCCAGAGTTGGCCCTGCCAGTGCCCACATCACCCAGAGTGCCCTGCACCAGGGTAAATAAATGTTTGCTTCCAAACTCAAAAGCCATGGCATTGGGCCCTGCCCATTCCCAGGACCACCGGCCCCGGATCCCCTTCCCGACTCCTGGGGCTCAGCATATCATGGCAGCCTCCGATGGCAGTGGGGAGCACCTGCAGGGGAAGGATGAGGTTGGAGCATCAGGTTTTGACCCACCCCAGAGAAGCAGGAGCAAAGGCACAAGGATCAGGTCAGCCCCATGGAGGTCTGGAGTTAAGTCCAAAGGGGGACGGAAGCAGTGAGACCCCAATGCTGTCCCACTCCTCCTCTCCAAGAGGATCCTCAGGAGAGGCAGGGAGCCATTCCAGGCAGTACTCACTCCATCTTGGCTTCCAGGTGGTAGACAGTCTGCTTGTCCAGGTAGCGGCAGAAGAGCGAGAGAAGGTTGCTGGGTAAGAAAAGAGGCTCCACCAGCAAGGCCTTGGGCACCTGTGACAGCTCCCGGGCCACCACGTACACCGTGTCTGTCCTGGAGGTACCGGCACAGAGGGTGAGCACCCCATGGGCTGGCAGATCCCCCACCCCACAGCTCACATAGCCCCTCACCACGCCTCAAAGTCTCCGCTCCGTGGCTCCAATGGCACATCCGATGACAGCAGCCTCTCCCCATGGCTCAGCAGGGAGTAGAGCAAGGAGATCCCAAACTGCAGGGAAGCACCAGAAGGAACATCACAGCCAGCAGTGGTGGCACCCCAGGGACACCACAAGGCTCAGGGCCACATACCTGGTTCTTCAAGGCCATGGTGAGGGGGAGCTCAGGGCACTCAGGCAGAGGCTGGGTCAGCTCCTGCAGGACCTCGATGAGTTTGCTGAAGGTCATCCCGCCCACCACTTCATTCAATGGGCTGTAGAGCAGGGGGAGAGACTGGGCAGGGCAGAGGGGAAAGCAGGAATCAGACCCTTCAACCCCTTACAGCCACAGCCCCAGCCCCATCCCAACACCTGGTGGGGACGGACACTGCCACCACAACTGCTTTAACCCCTCCTGGAGACCTTTCTCCTTCTCCCTGAAGGGAAGAGGCTCCTGTCTCATATCAACCCCACAAGACAGGGCCCCCCATTTCTCAGAGTGCCCCCCAGTGAAAGCAGAAGGGGAAGGAGGCAGCCCAGGCCATCCCTGCCCTGGTTGGAGGTACTTGCCTCATCCAGCACATCCTTCTTCATGAGGAAGGGCAGGTGGTGAGTGATGGTCAGCAGGATCTTCTCCCCTTGCTCCCGGGTCAGGTGGGGCAGCAACCGGGCCACGAGCTTCTTGCCCTTCTGCACACACAGCAGCTGCAGGAATTCATCCTCTGCCTCCCTGGGAACAAAGGCTCCATTGGCACAGATCCCGAGGGACCTAGGGCACCTCTGTCCATCCAAAAGGATGAGCATCAGCTCCAGTGGAGGGCAAGGCTCCCAGGCAGGGTCAGCACAGGCCGGGGTGACACAGCAGGCAGGACCCAACACTCCCCGTCACCCAGACCTGCTCATCCACGGCCATCTCAGATTCACAAGGACCAAGCTGTGCTGCCCACTCCCCTCAGCACAAACTCACTCCTCGCTGTTGCAAGCCCTGATTTTCAAGGCATGGTAGAGATTCTCCACTTCTTGGCTCTGCTGCTCCTGCTCCACCCCCAGGACAAGGGACATCTTCTGCTGCGCCTCTTCCACTTCCAGCAGCTGCAGGAAGAGCTGGAGAAACGGCACACAGTAAGGAAGAAGCTTGGAACATCTACCAACTGGTAACCCTGGCCCCTGCCCAGGTAGATGTCCCACTGGGAGATCCCTGGATAAAAGTAGAGCATCTGGACCATCCCACCCTGCCCCAAATCATTGCTTGCTCACCTTCTCAATCCTGTGCAGTGCCCGCAGCCGGTGGCTCCCTGCAGCCTTCAGGAGGGGAGAAAGGAAAGGCACAAGAGTTACAGCTGGTCCCAGACACCACTGCTGGCCCAGTGCTGGGCCAGCTGCTCCCTGGGGATCAGAGGTGGCCTCAGGACACAGAGCAATCCCACAGGGAGACCATGGGACCATGATTGCCCAGAACCCCATCCCATCCCTGGGCCAGGGACAAGCTGCCACTGCTGAGGTGGGACCTCCTCTAACTGTGTGCCCCATCCCACTGCTTTGGGGCAGCTCCTACAGCTGTTCAATGGTCCAGGAGGATGCAAAGCAGCATTCCCAGCAATTCAGGGCAGCAACTAGCCTGGCTTCCCCTCACCTACCTCCTCCACGAGGGCATGGTGCACAGCATCAATGGCCCGGCGAGGGCTGTAACAGGTGGACACGGCAACCTGGCCCAGCGAGCCGGCGATGCGCACCACTGTGAGAGGGGAGGGACACGGTGAGACCATGGCCACAGCCACTCACCCAGCCCCCAACACCCACCCCAGCCCTCACCAGAGTCATAGGTCTCCACTTTCTGGATGAACGGCGTGACCAACTTGGGGGTGTCCAGCTTGTTGCGCCCACCCAGCAGCTCCTCCTCTGCCTGCCTGCGCTCCAGACGGTGGTAGTACCACTGCAACAACAGGTCAGGAGTCCCCTCCAACACCCTGAAGGGTTCCCCTGGCTCCCAAAGCCCAGCTCTGAGGAGAACAAGCCGCAGGTGCTGCCAGCAGGAGCTCACCTGATAGTAGTAGTCGTCATCCATGTTCTCACTCTGCAGCTGGATCATCTCCACCTTGATGACCCAGTCCTTCTCCTTGGAGGTCATCAGCCCAGCATAAGGGTCCACTTTAGGAGACCATGGCTTCTTGGGGGAAATACTGGCACAGGAAGAGACCTCAGCCTGCTATGACTGCCCAGAGCCCTCCCTGCACCCCACAGCTTCCCGGGGACCCCTCATACCTCTGTGCCTGCCTGCCCTGCTGCTGCCGCTGTGTTAGGATCCGCTGGTGCTGGGGGTGCAGCTGGGTCATGTGGCTGGGCATGCTGCAGGGGAGACCAGACAGGGGTCAGGAGGGGCTCGGGACACCCCCAGAGCAGGGACACCCTCCAGCTTCTTTGTGGGGTCCCACCTGGACACCCCACTCTTGCTACCTGAGGTTCAGCTGGCTGTTGGCTGAGGGGCTGAAGAAGAGAGCAGGGTCCAAGGAGGGAGACATGGGCCCAAAGTGCATGGCCAGGGGCTGCAGTGGGCTGTCCATGGTGGGGGACCCAGGCTGGAAAGGGGCTGGAGACGTGTACCCTGCAGTCTGAGAGGGAGAGAGAAGCAATCAAGGGTCTGAGCCTTCCTTTCTGAGCACCCTGGATGAGTCAGCCAGCTCTGTGCTGGCTTCTGGCTCCCATCCCCACACGTGCCACCCTCTGGCACCACACC